ATTTCAGCCTTATTGCACACTCTAAACAGGGAGCACAACCAAGCCCACTTGAAGTTCTAATCCACAGAAACTCTGAGATAATAAATGGGTGTTGTAAGATGCTAAATTTGTCATGATTTCTTACGCAGAAGCAAAAAATATGATGTGCAACTGAATTATGAGTGAAATCCACATGAACAAAGAACATTACGAGAAGTTATTCAGATTTACAGTAACAGGATAATGAAAGTTAAAATAACATTCACAATTCACTACCCCCACCATCAGGCATTTCTATTCCTTTTTCAGTGGTACAATGGCTATTGCTACTCTAGGGAATCTATTCCCTAGAAGTAAAACATTCATGGTCACAAATATAAACACTGGCATAACTAGCACAAAAGTAAAAATCTAGTAGCAAAGTAAACGCCCATCACTCTAGGAAAGGTTGAATAAGTTATTGTATGTCATCATCCTGGAGTATTACACAGCATTTAAAAGAATGAAATAAGAACTATAAGACTGGCAAGATTTTCATCATATATTGTTGAATGGAAAAGGTGTAGAACACACACATCATCCCATTCATTTAAAACAACTAACCCACAAAAAGCATCATTTTGTTTCTATAAGCTTGTGTTAAAGAGATCTACCTATGTAGGGACGTGTAAGACGTTCACAACACACATTAAATTTAAAAAGCATGCTGCAGAGTGACACAAAATCCTTTATCTAGCATTTGTGTGAACAGAAGACACCTATATCAGGCTGCTACAGGGAGGTGGGAGTGAAAGGGCATGGTGGGAGGTTAGTTATGGAAGTGTGTATCTTTATTATTTATTGCTCTCTTGTGTTTTTAATCAATAGTAGTAATTTGTGGTACTCCTTTCATTTGCATCACTCTTTTATTCTGAGAAACGGTTGTCTGCCTTCCCTGCTTTGTCTTTCCTCAGTACTTATCACTTATATTGTATATATTTTACTTTTATTATTTGTTGTTTTTTTCCCCAACAGAAATGTAAGGACAACAAAGATTTCATCTGTTCACTCCTAAACGCCAACACCTGGACCTGACTGGCACATAGCAGGCATTCAAATATTGAGGAGAGTAATATTTCATGTATAACTTCTTTAGGGCTGCTCTTGATGTTCATTTTAAGCTTATTTCTCATGAAAACCTGTAGAGTGTGACAGAATCACATGACAAAAGGCCTGAATTTCGGGAGGTAAAATAGTCATTTGTTGGTTTCTTATTAGCACCTGACATTTTACCAGGAGTTTTATATCCATTATGTCAAATCAATCTAGTTAGACAGAACTATAATCCTCCATTTCATAGATGAGAAATCAACTCCGAGGGTTGCTCATCTGAAGTCTAAGACAATAAATGTCCTGTGTCCTGGCCCAAGCTCTGCTCTTTCTGTGTGGTATTGGTCTTAAGGGAATAATTTTAATAATTTAAAAAGACAACTGTTATTCTTAAGTGAAAAAATTAGAAATACTGTAGTTATTTTTCTGGGAAAAAAAAAAGAATAGGGCAGCGGAGGGGGAAGGTATCTCTTTTTTCTTCTTTACATATTGCTAACAGAATCTGGAAAGAAACATTTTCATGTTATCTTGTAAGTTTTAAGTTAATTAAACTTACTTTTAGGATTTTCATATAAAAAAGACATAATGGTTTTTACATAATGTGTTTAATATTTTGAGATTTAGTTGACTATTTCACTTGCATAATTCACTGCTCTGTTGATTTATTAATGATTTAAAAGTGATTTGTTAAATATAGCCTGTCTATAATTTGTTGACTATTTTACTCCCGAAGCAATTAAGCAGTTCGGCTTAAAGGCCTCAAGCCACCTGGGTCCTGATGGCACTCGGCAGGAAACCAAGATAACACAGAACTATCCCAAGGAGAATTAACAAATATTTAGATAAATACCATCACATCTTCAAGAGAAAAGGCAGCCCTGAGAATCCTGAGAGATTTTACTCCAGATTCTTCAACTCCAAAACAAGCTCTTCAGAGGAATGCTTTTCTTGACAAACTTCCAGTGGGAGGAAGTTTCTACCTCTTTGGCAGGCAGGGAGGAAAGCTAATCAGGATGAGCAGGACCATCTGAGGATTGCAAGGGGAAAAAAAGAGTAGACCTGGTCTAGCTCCAGGACAGTCAAGGCAGGATTAGGTTCAGAGACCAGCAGTTTGTTGCTAGGGGGTTAGGAAAAAGGACGCCACAGCAGGGCTGAGACACCTCGGGCTGACACGCTCGGCTCAGTTCCAGTGCAGGCAGGGCTGGAAGTGCGCCACAGAAAGAGGATGCTGTCTGTGGCTACCTTCCAGATGAGGTTCAAAATTCTCCCCGATTAGGCTGGATCTAATCTCAGGATCAACTCCACAGATCTAAATACATTTGAGATTGCCTAGGAATGGACAGGGGTTTCCTTCCCTGCCCTCCCCGCCACCACCCGCCCCCTTCTCTGATGATCTGGAGAGATTTTTGAAAATGAGATTACTCAACCAATAAATATTTATTGAGTCCTTTCTAAAATGGTAAGACAGCAGAAGTGGTGCCAAGGGGAATATAAGAAAATGAAAACAAGGTCCTGCTTGAAAACAGCTTATAGAAACAGAAGCAAACAAGTAATCACTGACTGGTTTATTTCTGTTAGGTGACAAGTGAGCAGTACTTCGCATGCAAAATCTGACGTCCAGATGAGGAAGAATCAGGTGTTCAGAATAAAACTCACTAACTGCTCCCGCACCTTAAAAAAAAAAAAAAACAACCCACAATATTTTGAAAGATACTACATAGACATTATTGCCAATATTTGTATTTCCCCACCCCAAATTCTTAAAAATCACACAATAAAACTTCGATGTATTTACCTTCAGTTATAGCTTGCATACATCAAAAGGTACAAAAATGCCTGCATCTGTATACAATATTCAAATTCAAAAGTAGTATCACTTCTGTCTCCGGAAAACAGTATTTCTAAGAAGAAAAAGTCATCTTCTAAACTTTTTTTAAAAAATTGGAATCATAATGTATCCCTAAGTGTCCTACAGCAATGAGAAGTAAGCTATTGTCTTGCTTGTTTAAAAGGCTGCCCAAAACAAGTTAAAAGTCTGAATGTTTTAGAGTTCCGTGTATACCTGATTTCTTCTGACCCTGAGATATACAAGAAAACTTAACAGGCACTATTTCATTGAGAAACAAAGTTTCCACTGAAATGAATTTAGATTGTTAAATGGTATTTTAACTGAACCTGCATACTTTCAAAATCTGAATCATAAATGGCAGAATCTAACCTTAACATTATCCTTAATGTAATTTCTTCACATTAACCTAACATTAGCTGAGGCTATTAACATTATTTACTTGGTATCCATGCTGTACTTTAATATTCCCATTCATTAGAGCAAGTATCAAACGCAGAAGTCTCCATGTTTACCTACCATCTATGTACAGAACAAGCTGTGTTCTAAACAGCAAAATAACGAGACACTTACCACATATAAAACCATTCCTAAATAGCAGTGGAGTATTAAGGGAACATTGGTGTTAATTTATAAATGACTGTCGTAATATATGAGACTATTGAGTTATTTCCTTAAATAAATGAAATTATTCCATCAATTGGGTATTTTGAAATGTGTGGGCTCAGTGGGCTACAGAACAAGATGCAAATATATAAAGTAGCTTTTTAAAGCATAGTCAAGACCATTCAAGACAGAATTCATACTATATTCTCTCACCTTAGGGGTAGATCATTTGACCACATTAGGACATTTCTTACATGTCTAGTATTCATTTTGAATGTGTAGATAACACAGCAAAGCTGACTTCTGTCAATTTAGCTTCCTAAAATAAAATAAAAGCTATGTTGGTCTAACACTTACCAGGGAAGTTCTAGGATCCTTTGCATGTTAATGTAGGTTAACAGAGACCGATAACAAACAAGGCAGAACTGGAACTGCAACAGTGACTGGTAAACTATTTGGGCACTGTCTTTGGCTAGTTTTAGTGCCCCTTGTTGCCCCATCTCAGAGTCATTCAGTTTTAGAGGTCAAAGGGATCTCAGAGGTCATCCTTCCATTTAACAAGGAAAGTACAACAGTGAATGGTGGGCCCAGATCACAGGGCTGGGTGATTTTCCTTGTTGGTATCCCCATGCCCTCACCCAAGTTATCCAGCATCCAAAGAAATGTTTTTGATGAAATTTCTTTTCTTCTAAGTTAATCTTGATGATTTATGAAAAATTACTGCCTTGGTCCCACTTCCAGGAGTGGTTGAATTCCTGTATACTTCAACACTTCAGCACATTTTATACAACTACAAGGTGCTTATTTTTATAACTCAGGTCTAACATACAACTTTGCTTTCCATGCAGGATTTTTCTTTTTTTAACTAGAGAAAGTTTTTCACTTTGGGAATTCTCAGTTGTGTATGATGGGTTTCCCTACCATTATCCTTAATTTGATGGTGCTATTATATGAGGTAATTCAAAAGTATCTTTGGTTTGAGGTTAAAGATTAAGAACCTGGGATACATACTGGATCTTACCAGGAAATGAAAAACTTTGGTACATCAAATAACAATACTAGCTCTAGTACTCCAAGTGCTATTTGTAACAGATGTTTTACTGTGGGTTCTCCTTTATATCACTGATTAATTACCTCTTTAAGAGGCACACAGGAAAAGTCAATGTGGAGTTGACATCTGGACCAGTCTTCAGGTAAGGTGAATGGCCAAATCACCAAGGACAAGAGAATTTTCTATGAACTAAAGCTCTCCCTATCAGCAGGTTATTGCACACTTTCTTCATCTAAATAATCACATCATTCTTCAGATCTGCCTGAAGCTATATTATTTTTAGTCTAATAACAACTAGAAAGTGCTTAAGGTCTTGTAGGCTATCTAAATAAAACTAAAAGTGAGTCATTTTCTATTTGGCAGATTTTTGGATTGTATGTTTTTGAAAGTACACAAAATAAACTAGATGAAATTTGTGTTGCCAAAAAAAAAAAAAAAAAAAGGATTCTAATTTTCAAAGTTGCACGTCAGTGCTTCTCCATGGAATTGAAATGTCCTAATCAATGTAAACCACGGATGTAACAGAAATAAAGTGAAGCGATCCTCTGGGTTAAAGTGTGTTCCTGCAGCCTACCCTAAGTGCCAGGACTGCTCTGGGACCCCTAAAAACCTCAATGGTGGTCTTTGGTACCCCAGCACAGGTCACAATACCACTCTGAACCTGGACTGATCTAGAGTCTATCAAACTAGAGTCCCTGTGGCCGTCTAAGCTAGATTTAGATTGCTATAAAATAAATCCAGTTAATCAATTCTCATTAAAAGGGACATTTCTGGCATGAGCACAAAAACATTTGTACATCCAAAAGATATAACACGCATCACTACAGCAGCAGTCAACACATCAGAGAACACTGCTTAGTTTCAAGGATATGGTCAAAGGTAACTTTTCAGTTTGCAGATAAATTTGTGGCTCCAGATTTTAACAAAGAAACTGTGAGTTCTGGGGAGGGGAAGCTCTTGAAAAATTATGTTGCTCTGAAGGGGCAAAAGGTGTAGAAGGCTTATGCTTGTCTATTAAGTAGCCAAAGAAAACTACAAGCACATCAAATTTTATGTATGTGTATACAATTTCTTAAAGTAGATGTCCCTGAAATTATCAAAGATCCAATCTTAAAGGGTATTTTATTTTCACTGGCTTTCCCTTTTAAAAGTTAAAATTCTCTTTAATGAGAGACTTTCTCTACACTCCTCACAGTCAATAATTAAGATCAATTCATTCCTCAGGAATCACATCTACTTTCTTTAACACCCTTTTATTTCTCTGCACCCTTTTACTATACCTCCCCCACCCCCACCACAGGGGGAGGGAAATAAAATCAGGTTGTATTAAGGTATTTTAGCTCGTTTACTGTAAATCCACTGTAGTCCAAGTCTGATAAATATTTCAATTCATGAGACACCTATAGCATATTATCTATATACACTTTATTTAAAAACAAATAATACACTCAGAGCCACCAAAAAAAGGGTATCTTAATTAGCTTATCCACACCCTGAATTTACAAAAGAAGCTTCTTGCACCACAAAAATTAGCATTTGGATTAATTTACATAGATATTATAACTAAAATTTAAAATACCTGAACATCAAACATTCTGGCCCAGGGCTCACAAGTTGGGGTGTGGGTGGTATGTGGAAAGGAGTTAATTAGGAATCTGTACTGAAGTTGCCTGAGGTCAGCTCTAATAAACTCAAATTGAGAAGACATAAAACAACCAGCAGATTTCAGGATTACAAAGAAGTGATTCCTTCTAAAAACAAGCATCAGATCATATAGTTGGGATGGGTATAGGGAATACCTTTTAATCTGGATTGGAAAAAAGTGTGTGGAAAAGGTTGTTTGTTTTTTTTTTTCCTCTCAAGGGACAAACATTAATCAAACAATAAAAAATTAAGAGGGAGGTATACGGTAGACCAAAGACTTTCTGATTGCTGAAAATACCAAATTTAGCAGCTCTCTACAAGTCAACTGAAATGCCATTCTCTGAGACATTTTCAGAGAGGAGCTAACATACAACACAGGGGGGAAAAAAATCATTCTACATTAACAAGGCACTCACTGGTTCACAGCCTGTTAAAAACCCAGGCAGACATTAGAGTTAATCTAAATTAAAACGAACTTTCCAATTTGCATCAGAGGGATGACAAGAATGTGTGGTCCTAATTAAATACAAGCAAAGATCCACAAAATTCTGACCCTTAAATACTGCTTCAGGAATATTGCTGGAATAAGCAGGATATAGGGATCTGTTTGGCCTTTTTTTTAATTAAAAAAATGGAGGCAATCTTTCAAATACTTTATCAACCTGGCATCTTGACACTGACACGGTGAGCCAATTAAATGATGGATATGGCCAATCCAAAAGCTTTCAATGGCTAACGTAAAAATGATTCTAATCATTTACCAATGTCTCGGCCTTTGTTTTTAAACACAGATATGTTAGTTTTCTGGACCTTCCCTAAAATGAACCTTAGGAACTGCTACACTTCACAAAAATATATGTGTAATTTCTGTCAGCTATTAATTTTATATAACCTGAATCCCAGTGTCAAACACTTAAAAGTACTACAATTATATAAATAACTAAACAAGGAACAAGAGCAATGGAGGCAACTTCTGAGTAAATAAAATGAATGATTTATGTACTTAACAGCCTTGACATAGCTTTCAAAGAATAAAGTAAGCTGAAGAAAATTACACGTAGAGCCCTATTTCCAGATAAATCTAGTAACAGCTTGGCTCTTGGTTGAAAATATCACACAAACATACTAACCGGAGATTCTCCACTATCAACAATGATGGTAAATTGTAAGCATTTCTTTCAAAGAAAACTAAAATTAATCCTAAGTCTTTCAACCCGATTAGTGACATCTTAGTCCAGTATACCTTAAATGACAAAGGCTGAGAAAAGCACCAACATAGATTTTTAAGTTTTATCCAACCATCATTTTAGATGTCAAAGACTTGCTTTAGTTAAAATGGCAGCAATGACAAAGAGGTAGATATGAAAGATGCCATTTAAATACTTTGAGACTACTCTTAGGTGGAATTTTAACTAGCTCAGGTATCTAAAAATAACTTCACAAGTTGAATCTTCATCACATGAGAATTTCATGACATGTTCTTGTATTAGGGGGGAATATATGAAGTACTAAAAAAGTGAGACTTTAAAAGTACATTTACTTAAGCCAACATTAGAGATCTAATAATTTTGGTGAACCAATAATTTTTCCTTTTACCTAAATTTGACTATAATTACAGGGTTTTTTCCCTCTATTGAAATTTCTAGCAATTCAACATTCCAAAAGTCTTGGAAAATACATATGGTGCTCAGGTGAGCACAAAGACAGCGCAAAAAATGTCCCCTGAAATCCTAGAAGTTGAGCAGATAACATTAACAAGACATCGATGGTCACAAATCAGGACCTTCACAGACTGGCAAGCACACACACACACACACACACACACACACACACACAACCCAATCCTCATTCTTGCTGTAAGGCTGCATTTATATATATTTTTAAAGGCACCTCTCATTCTCTAGCTATTGCCTTCTTGATGATATCAGTTTTGTTAAAGCCTAATGTCAATGGAGTAGTTCAGTACTGAGAATGAAATATTTTTCAATTCACATTTGAATAGTCAGGTTTTCTTACATTCAGATTTTAATAAACTAGAATGACAGTCTTTAAAACAAGCATGCTAGCCTATATTGAATATAGTATATATACAGTAATTTAAACATTTAGAACTATATATTATACTGCAAAAGCAAATAGCACAACACTCTTCATACTCATCGTTACCTTCTGTGTACACTATCTTCAAAAATGAAAATACAAAACAGTAAAATGCACCTATGGTTTTATATATATATATGTGTGTAGTCTATATATATTATATATATTCTTATAAATATATATAATATATATTTATAAAATATACATACATGTTAGACACTTTCAAATAAATTTCCATCATCATCTCCAAAAGAAATTTATAGCAAGAATACTTAAGGAATGAAAGTCAGATAAACAAAAATTTCTCACAAAGTTCATTATCAGTGATGCAGCTCAATTTCCCTTTTAGTCATAACTAAAATGATTATAAAAGCTAAATACTTTGCATAACTAATTATCTGTTTAATGGCAAAAATCGCTAAACTTGTTCAATAGAAAAATACTGATGGTTATTATATCACTTATTTTAAATATCTGTCTATGGTTTGAGTAGCAAATGAGCTCCATACGACAGCAGAGTTTTGAGAAGGGTGCTGCAAGCTCCAGGGATGGATCCATAGCATATGAAAATAAAGCAGGATCCCACAGCTCCTGCCAATTTTCATACTATTCCAATATATTTCATCCAGAATATTTACAAATCAAGCACTGTGATAGCATTCCAATGACTGAATCTTGAATTTGTTCACTTTATGAATTTATACTGAATTTTTGATAGGCTGAGGGAAAAACCAGATATATGTTTCTATTTGCTTGGAAGACAGCTTTGGCTCATTTCTAAGGGAAGATCATACAGTGCTAGTGGAGAAGAACATGTTTCTGTGTGCATTCTCCAATGGCACAGCACCAGCTTTCTAAGGAACTTTCAACAGTTCCATCATTTGCATTATAGTCTACATATTTCATGGTTATTTTCTACCCACTAAAGAAATTTTCAACCATGAGACATAAAATGCAGGTGAAGAGAATTTCTTCATTTTGAGAATTTCAGTGATGCAAATAAAGCAGGCACTGCAGACCATGGAAGGTACTAAAGCAATAACTGATAGAATAGCTTTGCAGATGTCCATAATTAAGATACCAAGTAAGAGCACCTGACTGAAATTTTCCAGTATCCTTGTACATGTTAGGTCAACAAAACCATTTCTTTATTCTAATAAACCAAAAGAGGAATTCACCAAATACAACATGGAAATCTGAATCTGTGTGGGAATGCACACCTGGTAGCTCACATCCAGGTCAATACATTTGATGATGCAAAGGAGTGCCTTGAGCCCAATGTTAACCAAAGCACAGACAAATGGACAAGGTATCTCTGTCAAAATATTAAAGCATATCTGTATCACAATCAGGCAAACTTAGCACAGGTACTTTAACTTCAAAGAAAATTTGCCTGCATTCTGCAGAATTCAGTTGCAGGCAAGCAAAAATTCTAAGAATAATTGTCAATTATTGCCTGCATCACCACCAGAATACTTCATCAAGGAGTAGATGCTGTTATTACAATGGAATATGTGGGGATAGGAATGTAGGAATTATATTAAAAGGTTAAAATATTTATGGATATGGACCTTTAAAAGTTTCAGAGCGTATTATATAGAGTAATTTATTCTAGTTTTTAGATTGGTCTCTGACATTTTGGGCAAAAAAAGAAAGAGTGAGGAGGGGTGAGACAGTTGCAGGGATGAGGTTTATATACCAGAAGGCCAGACATGGGCAGTCGTGAGAATCCCAAGAGCTGACGTGTGAGTCACAAGCAAAGTAGGCTCAGAAACCCCTGGTCTTTCAAGACATAATTTTTCCCCCAGAAATAATATTGATTCACTGCCCATTAAAACATGTTGTGTATTCCAATTAAATACCTAATTAATAATGGGGGAGGGAAAGAGAGAGAGAACTCTTTATCCCATATCACATACTGAACTCTTCCATCCCAATTTCCAGGAGGTTCTTCTTGGAGATATTAATAGAGGACTCCTGGGTTATAAAACACTTACTTTATTTAGATCTTTTGCAAAAGCAGCTGCCTGAGGTTAACCATACTCTTTGGACTATTAAAATATAATCATTATAAACTATTTTGGGTAGGTGTCAGATAAATTTTAATATGAGATACAAAAAAGAAAGAGTAGAGATCATCTGAAGCATGGATATGTGGGTGGTGATAGATAAGTACTTGGCAAATAACTTCTGTCTTTTCAACCACTGAAAGGTAAGATTTCATTGATATGAAATAAACACTCTGACACTATAAATATCATGAATAAAGTGAATTTTTAAATTAATAAATTATGTCCGGTTTGCCCTCAAAATAAGTAGAATCTTAAACCTGAATAAGTTAAATCCTTTAGTAAAAGCAGACTCTATCAACTATTCTTCATAATGGTGAGTGCTTTTCACAACTAACCTTTAGAATAAAACCAAATTTATTTTCAAAAGTGATACAATATAGAAATCTGCTTACAAACTATTATATTTCACATTTCAGAATAACAATATATTTAACATATTATTGCATTTCTTTTTTTCCCTAATAGGTAAATTCTTTGCCAGGTGCTTTATATGAACAGTTGAAAAGACAGTTAAATTAAAAAACTCATTTTAACACTGCAACTGGTCTTTATGCACACAGGGATTAGTATAGCAGATATGGTAAAGATTATTTTTTTTTAACTACCTAATGTGTGAAACAAGATTTCCCAGGGGAGAGCTAGGTCTCCCTAGCTCTTCTGAAACTCATTCTTCTTAAACTCACTCTTCTTGAACTCATTCCCAGCCACAAGCTTTTTACAATATTCCTTATAATGTGCCCTCTTTTACTCAATAGGGACAAGATAAACCTATGTTCGCTCGGCCTGCCTAGCGAATTAGAACAACTTCAGAAATAAAAGCATCTACTTGGGGGGAAAATTTGCAACAGTTTCAGGCTCACAGATTCAGCTGAGCTTGCAGCAACCTGAACAGACTTTAGTTTTAGAAAACAGTATACGAATTGCAAAACTATACTTTTAACAAATGTTCTCTGTGCTCCTCCAGCAGAACAAAAGAGCAAGACAAACTGATTCTTGCCCTGGTCTTCTGAATATCTTTTGTGCAGTTGACTATTTATAAAGAGCTAGAAGGTAGAGATGATGCATTGTGTCATACAAATACTTTAGCCAGTGCATCAGCTCCAGCACTGGCTATATAGCATTTGGATGGATGAAAAGCTACATCGTGAATCGATTCTTCAAACTTCTTCCGGTGAGCTGTGAACTCTTGGATACATGTCTTACTTTCTAGGTTCCATAAACGTATTGAACAGTCATGACCTATACAAAAGAAAGGAAAATATTACAATAGCATGAAAATGATAAGGATAAAGAAATAATCCATAGTTGATGTACTTACTGCCAGACATCAAGTAGAGGCCATTAGGATCAACTGCTAAACTTGTAACTGCTTCTAGGTGGGCTACCATTGAGTGGATCAGTTTGCCTTTGGAAAAAAGAGATTATTACTCTATTAATAATGACTTTTCTCATCCTGAAAATATGCCAGCTATATTATACTGGTTAGTCCTCTCTGCATCTCCAGTTAGTCCTCTCTGCATTTACCGTATCAATAGCTTTTTTAATCAGCGGAAACAAATGTCTCCCTCCTCACTCTGACCATGGCAATGGTGAAAAACAAAAGCTCAAATTTCAGATTATATTTTTGCCTTTCAAAGAACAATATGAAAGTCAGTAATCTGCACATGTATTTCTTTAAGCCATGTTTATGAACTAGAACTCAAACATCACTAATCACCTAATTTATATCCTGTAGCTACAGGCAAATTATTTGGTTTATACTAAGAGACTAAGACAAAGCCAGAGGAGCAGAGAGAAATCTGATCATAATTTTGGTAGAAATAATACATAGAAAAAGAATTAAAGAAAATTATTCATTATTAACAGCTAAGCAAAGTCACCAAAAGTTAACCTTGACTCTAGGGCCCAACTATAGCAGAAACAAAAGAAAATAGCACTAATACAGTGTTTTTTCCCTAACACAGCTGTTAATGAATATTCTTTAGACTATAGAAATGTAAACTAGTAAGAACTGAGAAAGGCCCCACACCCCTTTTCAATTCAATCAGGATCAAACAGTGTTATAATACAAGAAGATTAGCCTACGGAAAAACAAGGCTATGACTCAGGGGGTTTCCATCTGCAACACCAAGGCTATTCAATAATTGAACAATTTTAAACAAAATATAATGATCGTATGCCTTTACTTCTAACATGTTCTCATTTTCTCCAATATATTCACAGCAACAGATCAAGTTTTAATATTACTTGAATGAATTTTTCACTATATCTGCAGTGAGAAACTTGGCTCTTAGGGCCAAAATATAGTCTATTAATTCTAATAAACCACAATGATTCTATATATGTCATCAATTTGGAAGGAATGGACAAAAACTGAGCTGGGAGAATACTGTGATTCAGTGTTTACTCCCTGACTATAAAGCCTGACAAAAAACTAAATTAGTAAGTTTTTTTTGCTTTAATAATAATCAGTTTTTAATAAACTCTCACCTGTATTGTTATCATAGAATTTGATATGTCTGTCTTCATGAGCAGTGATGCTTATGGGGAGAGTGGGATGACTGATCACTCTATTTATTTGGCATGAAGAATTGGCTGCTAAAAAGAAAGAATTAAAGAGCAATACAAATTAAATTCATAAAGTCAATTGTAAATCACTGAATCATTCTAAGTAATCTTGATGTGTGATTGAGGAGGCAGAACACTTTATAATAACAATTATCTTTCATTGTTGATGACAGTAGTTTTAATTTTTAAAAGTAACCCAAAGACGGACTATTTAAAAATGGTGTACATACTCATATCTACGTTGGATTCTAAAGTGAGAATGCGCTGCTGTGTTTCCATGTTAAAGATGCTTGTATAGCCTTTGCTGAAGGAAGCTACCATATGGCTTGGGTCACTGCTCACCAGATCCACAGAAGCAGGGATTCCCAATTCTAAAAGAGTCAGGGCATATTCAAAAAGAATGGCAATTAGAGGATAACAATGACAATATACTTAAAATATTGCAAAACAAATAGTGGCACAATTTTCTTAAGAAGTAAGGTTCAACATTAGAATACAAATTAGCTCATAATCATTCAATGTAAATGAACTCTTGTTATTTTCAGCCTGAATCTATGTTATAGTCCTTACATGTTCAGCATATTTTCTATGTGTATTCAGCTAATAAATTAATGGAATGCAAGTTTTTATTTGTAAAACAAATGGAAAACATGTATAAATTAAAAGTTCTGCTGTTGACCTCCCCCGTGGCATAGGGGGGGTTACGTCTCAGCATTACCACCTCAAAGGCCCATTGTGACAGCCTGAGTTGGTCCCTGGCTCCTGAGGGAGCTAACCCACATGGCACAGCAGACCTCTCCTGTTTCTCTATGGCTCCCCTTAGCAGTGTATTTCAGTATATCTGCCTGTTCTGCTCCCTTATTCTGTCTGGTGAATTTTCACACCCTCTGCACCCCTAGTCTGAACTGCAATTCTATGCAAAAATAAAAAAAGTTCTGCTGTTTCCCACTCAACATGGGACTTAAGAGTGATATCATGGGAATTCCTCATTTAAAAAACTCATCTCTTGGGGCCTCCCTGGTGGCGCAAGGGTTAAGCATCAGCACTATGAAGCAATCCACAGCCACTGCAGCACAAGTTTGATCCTGAGCCAGGGAGGTGACCCACATGATACAGCAGATCTCTCCTGGCTCGCCCGCTGCTCCCCTCAGCAGTGTATTTCAGTCAATCTTCCTGTTCTGCTCCCCACTCTGCTTTGGTAAATCCTCTCACCCCCCAGCACCTCTGGCCTACACCCCAGCTCTAATATGCATAAATAAATCTTTTTTAAAAAATAAAAAATAAAAAGCTCATCTCTTATTAGGAATTCATTAAAAATATGAAATTTAAAAAGTTAAACTTTCAATTGTCATTTATCAAGAGTCATACTTTATCGAATTGCCAAATGTAGGCAACTTAATAAAGAGGGCATTTTTATTTATCATCATAAAATATGAACCATAGAACATGGTAAAACTTATTAAAACTTGAACCTTATATATAAACTTAAAAAGAAACAATGATATTTATATATGAATATAATCTGATTTTTTCACTTGGTTAAAAACCTAACAAAAGAACAATAAAAGTTCAAAAATGTTTGTATTACAAAAGAAGATCTATTAATGGCCACAAAGTACATAAAAAAGTGCTCAAAATAATTACCCATCAAGGAAATATAAATTGAAACCACAATGAAATAATATTAGATTCACAATACCATTATACTTACAAGAACATTACATTAAGAATAAAAAGCCAGGTGAGAGACCACCTTGTTCTTGCCCATAACAGATTCTCCTGTGGTGATTACTGGATGCTAAGACTGTCACCTGGGGGCCTCCCCTGGTGGCGGAGCAGTTGAACACTGGGTTGCGAAGCTGCCCGCAGCCTGTGCAGCACCGGTTTGATCCCCGGCCGCCATTGAGGGTCCCACATGGCGCTCAGACCTCTCCTGCCGCCTGCTGCTCCCCTCAGCAGTGTATTTTGTCCGCCTGCCTGTTCTGTTCCCCGCTCTGGCTCTGGTGAATTCTCTCACCCTCCCATGCTTCTGACTGTACCCAGTGCTTGTATAAATAAATAAATAAATAAATAAATAAATAAATCTTTAAAAAAAAAAAAAAAAAAAAAAGACTGTCACCTGGACCCTAACTGACCTACTGTCCTGGGCAGTACTTGCTGCCACTGACACAGCAGTCCCCTCTCTAAGGACACAAAGTCCTCCTCAGTCCAGGGGCACTGGAGGCAACAAGGATCTTTCACATTGGGCAGCTAAGTTTTGTATCTGTACACCTCTTCCTAGATAAGGAGAAAAAGTTCGTTTGGAGCTCACTCCTGGGGAATTCTTTCAGTTACTTTATGCTAAAACTTGTGTAAGAGAACCCTGTGTGCTGGATTCTAGCCCATGAAATATATGTGATTACTCCAGATACCTTCCCTGTCATATCAACAACAGGGTCACTTGTCAGAAATTATACATACTTGGAAATTCAAATAAATATGCTTTGCTTTAAAAACACTCTAGGTTATATTTAAACAGTAAGAGTTTATAGAATCATTTATTTGTTTGTTTTTACAAGACATTCTATGAAAGATTCAGAAAAATAATTTTTAAAAGTTTATACCTTGATTATCATTGAATACACTTAGGGCTGGAGCAACCTCCGTTGTATTCCATAAACGGAGAGTGCCATCTGCTGAACAGGACAACAAACGCTGGTGTGCTGCACTGTAAGCCAAGCCCCAGACTGCATCGGTGTGGCCTAGCAGAGGGCCTCTTAAAACAGATGGATCTATACAAAACATCAAAAATGCAAAATCAGGACCAAAAAAACAAATCATAAAGGTACATAGATTCCAGAGAAAGTAAAATACATAAACAAAAGCATCTGCTATGAGATTCCTAGTTTCTATTATTCATTTGAAATTCTGCTGTAATTAAAAACAGGCTTGAAAATAAACAGTTTTAAATATATGTAAATGTCAAAAGCACATATTATTCTCTCTTAAAAATTATGTAATTTTTTATCTTTCCCTTTTCCCCTTCCATTTGTCTAGATATTTTTAAATGATGTTAATACAAATCATTTGAATTTAATCTACCTTCAGAGAAATCACAACTCATATTACTTGAGGAAATGAACAGAGTTCCTTTCCTCCTCTGAATTTCTCCAGCACACTGGATATACTCCTTAGATCGCTTATCACACTGTATTATGAATAGCAGTTTTCCTGGGAGCAAAAGGATTCTGACATTCATCATAGTCATGAACTGAGACCTACAGGAATCCTTTCATATACCAATAACTGCCATGTGGATAACGCACATGTGAGGGAGGGAGGAAGGTAAAAGGAGGATGATTTAGCACTGTCTCATGATAAAAGTCATATAGGGAGGGCCTCCCTTGTGGCCTAGGAGTTAAGTTTCAGCTCTATCAGCACTGCCAGTCTGAGTTCAATCCCAGCCAGGGAGCTAACCCACATATGGTGCAGCAGACCTCTCCCCTGTCTCACTTGCTGCTCCCCTCAGCAGTGTATTTCAGTAAATCTGCCTGCTCTGCTCCCCACCCTGTCTACTGAATCCTCTCACCTCCCCACACCTCTGGCATACACCCCAGTTCTATGCAAAAATAAATAAAACATTAAAAAAAAAGTCATACTGGGAACTTTAATTTATTAGTTATATGACTCTATGAAGTAGTACTTTTTAGATGGTTCACAGATGTTACTTAAAACGTCAATGCTGTCATCTGTCCCATATCCTCACTTGGACATGGTATAAAATACTTGAAGATGTACTGTCAGGCACTATGCTAGATGCTGGGTTCACGCAGACAATTAAGACACAATACTCTCCTTGTTCTTAAAAAACAGTGTGCTAAGTGGTGACAGACACCAGTTATGGAGAATAATTGGGATGAGAAAAAAAGCTTGTTGGAGAATGACACCTAGAGTATACAGACACTAGCCAGGCAAAGAACAGAGGGAAAGGAGGTAGCACCTACAAAATCACAGAAGGAAAAACAGCATGATATGTGAGGAAATATATAAACAATAAATAATTACAAGTGTGATGTTTGAGGCATGAACTGCCTAGTTTATGGCAGGATTTCTTTGACTTATTAAGAGACTTGGAAATTCTCCTAAAAGTAATGGGGAACCACTGAAAGAAAGGTTTCCTGGAACCAACAGGGTTAAGTATTTAACTTCATCTGTTGTGTAGAAGACAAATTAGATAGAATCAAGATGAAGTCAAGGGAACTGATTCAACAAACTTGGAGAGTGACAATGATAACCTAACCTGGGTCAGAGGTGAAAGGGACAAAGCGGAAGGAATACATTAAAGAAACATTTAGAGGGTGAATCAAGAGTAATACTGTTAGGTTTCTAGTTTGGGTAATTCTGGCATTGCTTCCAACTCACAGAACATATGGGGGAAGAAACACAGAACTTGCAGGGATTTACAGACAATGAGATAGCCGTTTTGAAATACCTGATAGGCCAGTCTGAAAACTTAAAGAAGAAATTTGACTTAACAGTACATAAATGCCTAGCAGTGGATTCAATTTCCCAAAGAATATACATACATATACAGTAAAGAATTAGTGTCTAGACCTTGATAAATATTAATATTTAAGACCAGAAAAATAAAAAGTTAATGAAGTACAGGAAATTCTCACAAGTGTCAAAAATGTCCAGAGTGTACAAATGTCAAAAAAAGATGGAACAGTCACAGTCTTGAGATACACTAAATAGATCTACTAAAATAAGAATTGTAAAAATACCCCTTTGGAGGGATCAGGCAATTAGGTAGGTGGTTTCTGATAATCCTATTATATTCAAGTGATATACATTTCCCTCTCCCCCAACTCTGCACTACCCAAATGAAGAACGTTCTTAATTGGTATGATTTGGTAGATTATTTTTTAGGTCTGGGAATGCTAAAAAATAAATTACACATAAACTAACAGTTATAGCATACCCATACCCATGTCTCACTATTCGGAGACCCTGGGGTAGGTGATCTACCAAATCACAACCAAACAGGAAGCCTGTACAGCCGGAAGTCAGAATGTAAAGGGAGGATGCACAGAGAAAGGGCATGGAATCACCAACTAGTAGTTGTTTCCTAGACAATACCACCACAGAAACACAAATGAAGGAAAGAGACTAAACTCTAGAAATGAGAGTTAAGAAAAGGAGACCCCTTGTCAGAATGGGAGACACCTGAATTTACCCCAGGGATGGAGACAAAGAGCAAAGAGAGAGACAGAAAGGGAAGGAAGGGGAGTGGGAGAAGGGAGGAAAAGGAAGATACCAGAGTGCAGTCAAAAAGGAAACAAGAGGGGCCTCCCCGGTGGCGCAGCGGTTGAGCCCTCGGTTGCGAAGCTGCCCGCAGCCTCTGCAGCGCTGGTTCGATCCCCAGCTGCTCCCCGGCCACTGGAGGAGGGTCCCACATGGCGCGCAGACCTCTCCTGCCACCCGCTGCTCCCCTCAGCAGTGTACTTCGGTCCTTCTGCCTGCTCTGCTCCCTGCTCTGGCTCTGGTGAATTCTCTCACCCTCCCGCGCTTCTGACTGTGCCCAGTGCTTGTATAAATAAATAAATAAAAATAAATAAATCTTAAAAAAGGAAACGAGAATGAGGCAAGAGTAAACAGGGAAGGTTTTGACTTAGGACACACTGAGCACAATTGCTCCTCTGAGGCAAGAGAGAGAAAGGAAATAAGAAAAGGCATGGTGGGCCTCCCTGGTGGCGCAGCGGTTGAGCGCTGGGTTGAGAGGCTGCCCGCAGCTTCTGCAGCACTGGTTCGATTCCCGGCTGCTCCCCGGCCACTGGAGGAGGGTCCCACATGGCGCGCAGACCTCTCCTGCCGCCCGCTGCTCCCCTCAGCAGTGTACTTCGGTCCTTCTGCCTGCTCTGCTCCCCGCTCTGGCTCTGGTGAATTCTCTCACCCTCCCGCGCTTCTGACTGTACCCAGTGCTTGTACAAATAAATAAATAAATAAAATATATTTAAAAAAAAAAAAAAAAAGAAAAGGCATGGAACAGATACATTTATAAGAGAATTTCATAAAATATATGTTAATTGCTTGTTAAATAAATGTTTGGAGAAATTTTTGTTTATAGAACTTCTTTATTTAGGTTTGGTGGTAAAATTAATCTAGAATAATAATGAAAATATACTTTTATGAAAAATATGATCCCATTCTAGAATTTAAGGGGCAACCAAAATAGTTAAGTCTTAAACACATTTTTACAAGGGAATTTTTTGGTAATAACTAGTGATTGATTACAATGTGGATGTCGTGGTACTGCTCCCAAGATTTAAGGACATTCTTAATTTTTAAGACTTCTAAAATATTTTGATGCACTGAACATTGTCATTAGCCTCTAATCTTCCAGTAATAATCCATAGAAGATGACGCCAAGACTCATTTTCCTTCAAAGTTAGTCATCAAGAATAGTGATGATTGGGGGGAGGGAGAGCAAATACTGTTTAAAAATGAACAATGATGTAAAAAATTAAAAAAAAGAATAGTGATGAACTGTGATATTACAGATTAGTAATAATGCATCAAGTACTGTACTGGTGCCTAAAATGAAGAAAACGGTCAATCAAGTCAGCATTTCCAATCAATAAGACTTTGGGAAGTCTTACTGCTTTTTATACACTGTTTTCTAAATATGTGTCTCTTTTAACAAAATGAAGAAATGGTTCTCTTTCATCAATTAATGATAATTTCAAAATTATCTCATTTTACCCATATATGTATTATGAAAAGAAATCATTTCACTCTTTCAAACATTTGTGGACTTACATACCATAAGAGTCATAGGGGTCAATGTTGGGGTTGGTGGTGTTCCAGCTCTGGATCAGTCCATCAGTGCCGCCACTATAACACTGCTCCCCATTGCTGCTCATTACCACACAAAGCACTGGACCTCTGAAGATAAAAAATAATTTCTATTCTCAAAAATCAACCTGCTAATAGGATTTGTTAAAAATAATAAAGAATGACCTTTTATATTTTTGAAAGATTATAAAACAAAACAAAAAATAATATACAACCGCTATAATGTGTCCCGGAAAGCCTAAAAGAATTTACTATCTATTTATATAAAAAGTCTACCAATCTCTGTGCTGAGTAAGTTAATTAATAACACATTCCATAAGCTTAAATGGAAGCATCAAATGTCACATGTGATTACAATAAAAAATGATCACATATTCTTATCTAGGTTATCGTTAAGGAAAAAATGGCCAGGACTTCTAACATTTAAACCTAATGGCCTCAACTTTATTTTAAGGTAATATATACCACTTAAATATCATGTAACTGGGCCTCCCCTGGTGGCACAGCGGTTGCGTGCTGGGCTGCAAAGCTGCCCGCGGCCTCTGCAGCGCCGGTTCAATCCCCGGCCACCGGCAAGGGTCCCACATGGTGCGCAGACCTCTCCTGCCGCCCGCTGCTCCCCTCAGCAATGTATTTTGTCAGTCTGCCTGTTCTGTTCCCCACTCTGGCTCTGGTGAATTCTCTCACCCTCCCGTGCTTCTGACTGTACCCAGTGCTTGTATAAATAAATAAAATCAAACAAACAAATAAATAAATAAATATAATGTAACTAACATCTAATTTTATCAAGGTTCCCTATTTGGTAATGATAAACTTGTATTTTAGTATTACATTACTTGCCAGTTTCTTTTACATTTACAAAAGCCACTACTAACTGCAAAAACACAGCACACCAAAAAATATATAAGTGGGGCCTCCCTGATGGCGCAAAGAGTGAAGTTGCAGCACTGTGAAGCTATTTGCAGCCACTGTAACACGAGTTCAATTCCCAGCCAGGGAGGTGACCCACATGGCGCATCAGACTTCTTCTCCTGTCTCACCTACTGCTCCCCTCAGTAGTGTACTTCAGTAGATCCACCTATTTTGTTCTCCACTCTGCTTTAGTGCATCCTCTCACCCCCTGCACCTCTGCCCTATACACCAGTTCTTGTAAGCTTAAACAAATCTTGAAAAACTATATATAAGTGAGAGAGAAATAAAAAATTTCAATCAGGCTGATATATAGCAGTGTTGATTTAAAACAAAGAGGAAGCAGATACTTACTTATGAGCCCTGAATGTATAGATAGGTTCTACATCAAGGGAAGTACTCCTAAATTAGAGAAAAAAAAAAAGACTTTACACTCCAAGTTTCAGTAATAAACAGTATCACTGAATGTATGTCATAAAATTGAATTTAGAAATATCAACATTATGGTAATATACCATAAAAAAAGCTTACTTAACACCAACCAGATAATTTTGTGGCTTCAAGAAACAAGACTATTATTTAGTAACAATATTTTGCCACTGTGGTTTTAGCATTGCCATAATCTATTTGATTAACGGGAAAGATAGCTTCACTGAGGGAAAACAACATCGTAGGGCTTTGAAATGATAAATTTCAGGATTCAATTTCCAGTGCTGTCATTAACTGGCTCACTTCAGGCAAATTACTTAACCTTAGAAATTCAGGTTCCTTTATGCGTAAAACAAAACAGAAAAATAGGAAAAACACCAGATACAGGGTTAAGTAAAATTCTTTAATTAGTAAAACAGCTTAGGACAAAATGACGCAGGTAAAAGAACTTCAATAATGGTACTTCAATTTCCTTGCCTCTCCATGATGCTTAATATGTCTATGCTTAAGGGCCTCCCGGGTAGTGCAAGCAGTTAAGACACAACCTATGAGGCTGCCCGAAGCCTCTGCAACACTTCAATCCCCAGCTGGCCAAGGAGCTGCCACTTGGTGCAGCAGACCTCTCCTATCTTGCCCGCTGCTCCCCTCAGCGGTGTACTTTGGTCAATCTGCCTTTTCTGTTCCCCACTCTGTCTCTGGTGAGTCCTCTCACGCCCTGTGCCTCTGGTCTGTATCTATCACCCACAAGAAACTTGTTTCAGTGTTTTTCAAAATTTTAAACAAGACTATATGATGAGACATTCATATTCGCTAGTCTTATGCGATGGCCACTGTGACTAAAGAACTAGACAAAAGGCACAATTTATAACCAGGAAGTAATTTTTCTCTGCTAAAGACACCTGATCCAAGTATTTCACATGATTTTACAAGCTCTGGTTGCACTATCTGATTAAGACTGATAAGGCAAGTATTTTATCTATTCTATGTATGAGACATAGCAGGAATGTCTCTGATCTCTTTTAAAGTGGACAACAGATATCCTCTGCTGCCCATAGCGAAATTTCTGTAATCTCAACCCTTTCATGTAGCAAGAGTGACTTCTAGCTTCTGAACCATGTGACACAAGAAAGAAAGGAAAGGGGGAGCTCCAACATGGGCCCCACCAAGTAGAAACAGGACTAGCTTGGTGACTAGCAGGGTTTATACCAATTTATGACTGCACATGCTTAGAGAGAAACCATAGGGTAAGGCAGACACCAGCAGGTAAGTGATGGCATCAACACTGCCTTTTGGCCTAGACATTCTGGTAAGAAATGGAATGACCTAAGATTCAAGGCTAAAAGACAAGAACAAAAAGGAGGTTCCCCACCCCTTCCAGTCTTTCTTCCCTTCCACCTGATAAATCCAAACCTATGAACAATGAGGTAGGGTTGGGGTTGGGGTAGAAAAGGTTTGATGATTTTACACATACTTTTATCTGTTTACATTAACAATAGAAAACTTTAGTAAAGATAAAGCGTTCCTAAATATGACAGTCATTTAAAACAGTGTAAAAGGATTGAAGTCCACATTCACAAAACCCTGGGAAAGCATGAGATAATACCATTTCTTCCTAAATATCCATTTTTCAGCCTAATACATTGTGAGTATGAAGGTAAAAACTCCTGTTTATTTCACTAATGAAGAAGAAAAACTATAAGAAATATTTGGAGAATTCAATAATAAATAATAAAATATTTTTCTACTGAAAACTTGAACTACTCAAAATAGAATAGTCTCACTTTTTGGCTGGGGCTGTTTTCTGCAAATTCCACATTTTTAATGTGTGATCTTCTGATGCTGTTATCAAAACAGGTTCAATGGGATGGAAAGCAAGGGCTCGAATGCCATCAAAGTGACTTCTTAATGTAAACTTAGGGTTCCATGTCTTCCTTAATGCATCTTTATTGTTTGCTATCTATTAAAGAAACAAAACAAAGATACCTATATGTTAAGTTCAGGACAAGAAAAAAAAATATCAACATAAATTATTGCTTTTTAAATGTCATTAAACTATCACATTTTCCAACTTTCAAAACATTATAATTTTTAAGTGTAGATAACAAACCAACAGGTAAAATTAGAAATATGTCAACAAGTGGTTTTATTCGAAGAAATATGAAAATTATGAGAAAACATAATAATTAAATAATATAAAAAAGGGTAAAATAATTTAATAATATAGATATTCATGAGGATAAAAAAGAGAAGCAATTTCATCTTAAATTATAGTACAGAAAACACAAGGAGTTCAAAATTAATTCATCTTTAAACCTCTTAGAGAAAATGATCATATTTTTGAGATTTTTTCAACTTTTTTTTAAAGATTTTTTTTATTTTTTTATACAAGAACTGGGGTACAGGTAAGAGGCATGGGAGGGTGAGAGGATTCATGAGAGAGAGAGAGAGAGAGAGAGAAAGAGAGAGAGAGCGTGCGAGCGAGTGAGCGAGCAAGGGAGCAGAACAGGCAGACAGCCGAAAACACTGCTGAGGGGAACAGTGGGCGAGGCAGGAGAGGTCTGCCACGCCATGTGGGTTTCTCCCTGGCCGGCAGGGAATCAAACCTGTGCTGCAGAGGCTGCAGACAGCTTCACAGCGAGGTGCTCAACCCTCTGTGCCACCAGGGAGGCCCTTTTCAATACTTTTAATGAGCTAAATTTTCATCATCAAATTTGTAAACAAAGTTTATGACCTGAAAACAAGGAAATGCTAAAATTGAGACAATCAGATATTATAAAAAGTACATTCTGTTGGTAAAAAAAATACATTGTTGCTCTTCCCCATAGAATCTCCATCTCAACAACTGAAAAAAACTGCACTATTTTTTTCATTCCAACTAATAGGAAAGCTGAAAAAGCAGCTAAAATTCGGCCTTACACCAGCACCATATACGAACTCCTTATACTCCAAGACAAACCACCACACTAAGACCTGTCACAGCAGGCCCCAGCATACCTCAGTGAGCCCCAGGGCAGGCCCTGAAAGGATCCCAACCCATTAGACCCTGGCAAGAAGTGGAGCAGGCCCTTCTAATAGGCCTTAACAGAGGCAACAACAGAGTCTGGTCCCCCACTGGCTGTGGATTATGGAGCAGCAAGCCATAGGGTCACTGTTCTGAGAGATAGACAAACATTAAGAGGGGGACTGATTATCCTGTGGACTGTAGAGACTAGTGTAGACCTCAAAAAGGTTGATGCTGAGGAGATACTATATCAAACAGGAAATGGGTGGAGAGAAGAGCCTGGAGTTATGGTCTAGAACAAGGGACATGGGTGGCAGGACTGATAACTCAGCCAAGGGCACTGGAGAAAGTGCAGCAAAGGTTATGTGGAGGCACACTCCCTTGAAAGAGGGAAAAACCTTGTAAAGGAGCTGGGGTACTCCACACAGGCTATGTCCCAAGTAAACCTAATAGCATAGCAGACATTCTGACTGGCAATCCCCCTTCCTATTCCCTAGGACTGGTGCTTACATTGTGGGGCTCACTAAGAGCACAGAGACTGCCAAATTACTTATACCCCAGAGAGAAAGGAGATACCCAGCCGGCCAGGGAGCTACCCACATGGCACAGCAGACCCCTCCTGTCTTGTCTGCTGCTCCCCTCAACAGTGTATTTCAGTAGATCTGCCTGTTCTGCTCCCCACTCCCTCTGGTGAATCCTCTCTCCCCACCCCACACCTTTGGCTTATACCCCAGTTCATGTATGCATAAATAAATAAATCCTTAAAAAAAAAGTACAAGAGTTGGAATTCAAGCCCAAGCAGTCTGAGCTCAGAGGTTACCCTCTTAATATAAACTATAATTTAGAACTCCATAGTTTAAAGAATCTAAACAAGGTATGTCACAGTTGGGACAGTAAGAGAGCACAAAATATATTAGGTAAGGAACTACTATAAGAATTGGGGCTGGTTATCTTGGAGTTGAGGTTAGCAGGAGTGAGTGGTACAACAACTGAATTAACCCTTGACTGCTCTTGCTAAGCCACTGAAGGTTTTCATGCGTAAGAGTAGTACGATTCCTTTGGAATGTCTTAGTGTGGTAGGTAGTCACTAAAATGACTCAATCAGTTCTGCCTCCTTGCATACCTTGGGTAGTTTCCTTCTACATTTTAGGGATGGTGTGTACGACCCAATAGCATACAGGGGAGGGGATAACAAACTCCTTCCAAAATCAGGTTATAAAACGTTCCATCTTGGATGTTCTTGCTATCCCTTTTCAAATGCACTGGGGGAAGTTAGCTATCCTGTTTAGGAGACCACAGACAGGTCCATGTAATGAGGAATGAATGTTTCCATGCAATAGCCAGCAAAGAGTCAATCCCATCTAGCAACTACATGAGTGAGCCGGAAATAGATCCTCCCCAAGTCCATTCTTCATATGAGACTATAGCCTTTGCCAGTGTCTTAAATGTGACTAGTTGAGAGAATGATCCAGAACCATACAGCTAAGTTGCCTGCAAAATGCTGTCCCACAGATACTACAATAAATATTCACTGCTTTCAGTTGTTAAGTTTGGTGCAATTTATTGCACAGCAATAGATTACTAATATACTTAAGCATCTACTTTCAGAAACAGAGTAACAGATTTACTACCAAGTTTTCTCACAATTAAAAGCTAAAAAAAATGAGCTTTCTCTTGAGAGAGGACTAAGTTACATTGCATATTGCATAAATTCTTTGTGGGAATGCAAATATTTAGTGGAAATTTCTGCTAACAAAGATGCACTAGATTAAGTAGGACCAACGCTGTACTGAGGACAAGCAGAAAAGCAGAGTTAAATCTAAAAGTTAGAAAATCAAAAGACTAGTGAAGAAAAGCCAGGCCAGGATCTATGGGAAGACAGTCAAAGGACATACGCCTGATATCTTGAGTCATTTTCCCCTAGAGATGTTTACTGATTCCAGCAGGGATGGCTAACAGATTGGTATTTGGCGAAATATCTCACTTTGACTTTTGATTTCAAAGGGCTGCATATTCTACAGAGAAGGGTGAATTGGAAGAAAACAAATCCTTGCAGAGACTGTAGATCAGCTTTAGATCACCTCAAAAATTGAAAATGGATGGAGGTTACCCATATTTCTAGTGGCTGTAGACATATGAGAGATGCAAATTAAAATACAGTGTCTGGCAGAAGATATTCTAGGACTCAAATTATTTCTATGGACAATTCTTCAAATATAGAATTTGAACATAATAAAAAATAATCTTGCCAATACAAGGTAGCACAACATTAAATGAAAACAAGCAAAATATAACACGAAGAGAACTACATTCTCCAATTTAAACTTTAAAATAGTCATGCTTACTCGGTTCAAGAAAATAAAAGCCAAGATTGAAAATCTTAGAAGAAATCTGTAAACAAGAATTCTAGTAAATAATCACAGATGGATTTAATACAGATTACACATAACTGAAGAGAGAATTAGTGATTCCTCTGAAATCAATGAACAAACTATAATCATTCATGTATTCAGGGAAAGCCCACAATTTTAATCTCTACATGAGGTAAAAAATAATATTGTTTATATTTACACTTTCAAAGCCAGCAATTTGCTCATTTTTCGAGCAAAAACAACAAAGATAAAACTACTACTCACATCATAAGTTAGTGAATCTGCTTCGTTGGCCACTGTAAGGCCAGCTAATTCTCCAAGTCCCAGTTCACTTTCTAGGGCTTCATCTGCTCCCATGATGAATGACTTCCCAGAAGAAGGAGGAAATGTCAATGCTTCCACTGAAGGGGAAAGAAAACAGAAATAAAACCTCTTAAAGAGTCAACAATTGGTCTCATCAGTGCATGTCCACTTTTAATTACTTTTAAATGCTTTTAAGCACAATAAAATTTGGTGAACAGAAAACACTGAAGAGTTGTTTGCTTTTTTCATCTTACCCATAGCTAACATTTTTTTTATAAATTTTATTTTTATATTCCCCATCCAATTGCAACCCCCTTATTTTGACCCCAATCCCTTCCCTCCCCGCTCCCTACCCCCCATAGAGTGTCTCTGGTTCATAGTTGTTTGTTGATTTTGATTTTCACTCTCTTATAGTTACTCATTTTCCTGGTCCCTTATTTAAGTTTTCTAGATTCCTGCTATGAGTGAGACCATCCGGTATTTTCCTTTTTCTTTCTGGCTTATTTTGCTGAGCATGATCCCTTCCAGCGCCATCCATGTTGCCGCAAATGGCATGTGTTTATCTTTTTTGAATGCTGAGTAATATTCCATGGTGTGTATGTACCACATCTTCTTGATCCAGTCATCTATTTTTGGGCATTTGGGTTGTTTCCAAAGCTTAGCTCAGCACTATTGTAAATAGTGCTGCTATAAACAGAGGGGTGCAGGTGCTCTTTGGAATTGATGTTTCTGTGTCCTTTGGGTAAATGCCTAGGAGTGGAATTGCTGGATCATATGGAAGCTCTATGTTTAGTAGGTCAAGAAATCTCCATACAGCTCTCCATAGTGGTTGGACCAGTTTGCACTCCCACCAACAGTGCAGGAGAGTTCCTTTTTCTCCACAACCTCGCCAACATTTGTTGTTGCTAGTTTTTTTAATATGTACCATTTTCACTGGTGTAAGATGGTATCTCATGGTAGTTTTGATTTGCATTTCCCTGATTACAAGTGATGTTGAACATTTTTTCATATGCCTGTTGGCCATTTGCATTTCCTCTTCAGAGAAGTTTCTTTTTAGCTCTTCGGCCCATTTTTTGACTGAATTATTTTCTTTGTTGTTGTTGAGTCTCATCAGCTCTTTGTAGATTTTTGTGATCAGTCCTTTATCATTAGTGTTGTGTGCAAAAATGTTCTCCCAGTCGGTGGGGTTTCTCTTTGTTTTTGTTATTGTCTCTTTTGCTGTGCAGAAGCTCTTTAATTTGATGTAGTCCCAGCTGTTTATCTTTGCCTTCACTATCACTGCTTTGGGTGATGTGTCTGTAAAGATGTCTTTGATGTGCATATCACGTAGTGTTTTGCCTATATTTCCTTCTATGTATTTTATGGTTTCAGGTCTTATGTCTAGTTCTTTAATCCATTTTCAGTTGGTTTTTGTGTATGGTGTGAGGTAGTAGTCACCATAGCTAACAATTATTAATTAGAAAAGTGAAACAGCAGTTTTCTGAAGGTATGTTATATTTCATCTAATAATGTTTGTTTCAAAGGAATGTTTAAACTGTCCATTTGAACACTTTCATTAGCTGCCAACTGTACTTCAAGATGCCAAATTTACTTTGTGATAATTTAAATACCCTTAGTTTATGATACCAATTCTGTTCCTGTAATCATCATCATAGGAAAACCAATTAAAAGCAAAATACCAAATTAAAATAGAAAATTTACTTAATTTGATGAAAAAAGCATCACTTTTTGATAAATTGAAATTAATCTGACAATCAGAGATGGTCTTTGAGAAGTTTTCTGGGGGTGGTTATTCAGAACATGAATTTAGCAGAGTTTAAACATATGTAAAGGTAACTTTTTCTTGAAAGAAACAAGACAATCATATTAGTATACACATAAATCCTTTATACATAAAATAGAATTTATAAAGTATTTCTTTTTTTAATAGAGGCATGTTTTATTTATTTATTTATTTGTTTGTTTGTTTTGCTTATACATGCACTGGGTACAGTCAGAAGCATGGGAGGGTGAGAGAATTCACCAGAGCCAGAGCAGGGAGCAGAGCAGGCAGAAGGACCGAAGTACACTGCTGAGGGGAGCAGCGGGCGGCAGGAGAGGTCTGCGTGCCATGTGGGACCCTCCTCCAGTGGCCGGGGAGCAGCCGGGGATCAAACCGGCGCCACAGAGGCTGCGGGCAGCTTCGCAACCCAGCGCTCAACCGCTGCGCCACCGGGGAGGCCCTATAAAGTATTTTTTAGTATTAGGCTCAATCATAAAATTTTAATCATAAATGTTTATTGAAGAAATCAAAGAATAGTTATGTTTTAAAATAATAGCAGAGGGCCTCCCTGGTGGCACAATGGGTTAAGCACAGCACTATGAAGCTATCTGCAGCCATAATTCAAGCCCCAGCCGGCCAGGGAGCAACCCACATGGTGCAGCAGACCACTCCTGTCTCGCCTGCTGCCCCCTTTAGCAGTGTATTTCACTCAGTCTGCCTGTTCAGTTCCCCACTCTGTCTCTGGTGAATCCTTTCACACACACCCTCCCCCATTCCTCTGGCCTGTACCCCAGTTCTTGTATGCATAAATAAATAAACCTTTAAAAAAAGTATTAAAAAAATAATAACAGCAGAAATGCTGCTTAAAATCCTTGTAAGAACAAAGTAGATCATAAATTAAGACATTTCCAAACCATAATATAAAAATGAGCTTTACCCAAACATATTACATATCCTCTGAGGGGTTCAAGCAACTCCAAACATTTATTAACATAATGTGGGAATTGCTTACATTTGTTTAAGCCAAATTTCCAACCCAACAATTCATGTGAAACTATAAGGCTAGGTTTCATCAGGAGTTTTTTGGTTTTATTTTCCTTTCTAATATTTCCACATAATTTTGTTCTGGTATGAGATAAAGAGACTTCAAAACACGACTAAGATTCATGGGACTAATAATAAACTTTGTTTGGACTAATTTAACTAATGCTCTAGAAGTGGCCAAGTAAAACCTAAAGACAAAAGAAGGGAACACCTATTTACACACACACACACACACACACACACACACACGACACACACACCAGGACTTATGCCACAGACAAGGGCTAAAGAGACAGTAACATGCTTAATGAGCATGACTGTCATTTGAATGTTCTCTAAGTTCCTTAGAACTTAAGACTGTAAGTCACATTTCTCTATGGTAACTAAACATTACTAGTCTTAATTAATTTTTACAATGTTATCTAAACGTGCCTCTTAAGTATAGCACTGTCTAGTGAAGAATTAAAATAAAAAAACTAAAATAATGAACATATGTAGCACACAGAGGTTGTGGGAGCCTTTTCTGAAACTGGACTGGAGATCAGGAAGTATGAAAAATAGGTAATTATAATACACAATATATTTCTTAACTGCTTTTTCTATTTCTGAAAACCCCACACTGGGGGGGTAAGTTTTAAGGCCAATGTTACAGACAGTACGTTAAACAGTCGATGTTAAAGCTTTCAAGTCTTAAATACCTCTCTTTTACCAAGGGCACCTTCTGTAGCTTATATAATGCTTTGTACATTTTTCATTTAGTAAATAGTACATATTTTGTATCTATTATTAGATTCTGCATAATGAAATATAATACTCTAGGAGTTCGTAAAGTAAGATTAAAAACATACTTTTCTTCTTATCTAGTATTCGATCTCAGAATAAATTAAACTGATAACTTCTTATATCTGTAGTGTCAACTAATCTTCTAGTGAGCAACAAACATACATACCTACAGAAGCCCATGACCTCAAAAGACACTTCTACATCAAATAAAATGTAAATCTAGAGTAGAGTGGTGGAGCATCACAATAGGTGATTCTTCATTGTTTAATGTATGAGTAATAAATTTCAAGTATATGATAGTCAACTGTAACAAATAACTAAGCATGTAATAGTCAAAACTTTCACTGAAAAAGTATACCAACCCTAAAATCTATTCATCAAGCTCTTATCAAATTGTCTCTCAGAAATGTTGCTGAATTTAAAAATCACATAAGAAAACCCATATGATTTTTCTTTAGCTTTTTCCCAGGTTGCTTTATTCAATAAATAATAATCAGAAAGAGGCATATCTACTTGCTGCAAATAATTACAGTATTTAAATGCAAGGCAATTTTGAAAAATATCAATTGTTAAGATTACTTTTATGCCATAATAGATTTTTAGCTACTGAAAATATATAGCTTAGTTAATTTCTATATATAAGCACTTTATCATTTATAGATAAATCGGAACTTGTTTTAAAAGACAGTATTTCTATACCACAAGTACTTATACAAAAAACTATCCAAAAGGAGAAAGTTAAGCATAAAGTCTAAATTATAATATGTAATCTTAAAATTATAATAATGTAAGTTAATTTTCATGATTTTTCTGTTAAGTAAATAAAACAATTATTCTACATTGTGATCTTAATGTTATAAAGTAAACATTTGTAGAATAAAATTCTTTTTTTAGAGTTCTCTCTAATAACTCAATTTAGCTATGTATATCCAAGTGGTTTCTGTGCACTAGAATGACTTAAATACTTACCTTCATCTGCCCTATTTATTTCATGTTCAGGAAGTCTGGAGCTGCTGGGTCTGGAAGGTGAACCCACAGATGGCTGCAACGAAGGAAGTTCATCAACATCTCTCAAATTAGCAAGCATATCTTGTAGTTTTGACCTATTGGGTCCTAGCCCAAAAAAAGGGAGGGGACAAAAAGAGGAAACAGAATTAGTCAACTGCAACACAAGTGTGCCATAAGCCTTTTTCAAATCTGCCAATATTTACCTTTAAAACTATGTATTATGTCAAAAACACATATTTTCTAAGTTTTCAAATCATTTAAAAAGCATAGTAGTTCGTGAAAATAATCATTTTATATATTTTTAAAATTAAGCTAATGAAATAACATCACTGTTTGCAAGAAAAAAGAATGCTCATGTGCAATTTGAACCACTGTATTACTATTCCGTATCCTTGTATGTTGCTGTAAGTGCAGGCAGATATCATAGATTGCCAAGTTACTGTGTACTGAATAAACAACAACTCCTTTAGTTTGTTTAAATTAACTTGCATTCACTGCCTTACATTCTGAAGCTATGGTACCCGAGGTGAAGTCTCATGCCCTGCTGATTACTTACCTGAACTTTGATTCTTCATTCTCCCACATCCCTGTTTTGACTGTTTTATATAGGATAGAGGCTGAAACAGATCTTCGGTAGTTTTTCCTGTTATAAGTTTAATTAAGAATGGGAAAATCTTACCCATAGTCCATTACGGTTTTTTTTTCCTATACCAGCAAAGAATACAACTATTTTTAAGCAATTTAAACTAACACCTAGAATTATATTTCAAGACAGTATAAGTGGAGTGCACAATTTGACTGGAAATATTTCTACTAGACTATATTGAAAGTCTCAAACTTTCCCAATGAGTAACAGTGCAATAAAAAAATATATTTATGGTGACTTATAAATTTAAACTTCATTCTCTGCTGTTTGTTTTTAATTATAACTCTTTCTTTCAGTTTTATCACAAGTCTTCATTTGTTCCCAGACTTATTTTATCAAGATACCATGAACTGAAGATAAATAAAATGTGCTGAATCACAGTCTACAGTTCTCTAATCTTCAATGTAAGACATTAAAAATTCTGAGAAGTTTTTCTTTACCACATTAAAAGAATATTGTGTTGTCTTGTTGTTGTTGTTTTGCCTTAATAGTGATCATAATTCCCAGATGCATGTATCCAATAGCTTCTGTTAGTAGGAATACAGTTCCAGTCAAATGGTACAGTTTAGACTTTAAGTGCTAAGGTTCAACTACAGCTATGCCTCGATATCTAACAAGACTTGACTAATCAATATAATAGTAGATGAATTCTATTAAAGTCCTGGAGACCTTTCCAATTGAAAGACCTTTTACTTTTCAAGACATTCATTATTGTAGCATAGTGACCTAAAGAAATACATCAACTTTAAGTCAATCTAGAAATAAAATATCTCCTTGTTTTTCATATATTACATATAAATTTTCCTCAAAAGTCTATTTTAGGATTTTTTAATCAGCACATTTGGAAAAAGGTATAATTATTCTTGTTTTAACATTCATCTTTCTCACAGTGATTTAATTTCTATTGAGAGGGCGTCAAGTATCTCTCACTTATGGAATAGGTTGTTAAATGACAGCAGCAATAATAGCCACTGATTTTTTTTTTTTATAAATTCAAGCTGAATACTTGTAAATTCTAAGATAGTTTAAATCAAGATTTAAATGTTTATAAGTAAGTACCAAATTGTAAAAGAATTTCTCAACAGAAATGACTGGTCTTTGATAAGCCTTAGCATCACTATAAAAAGAGGGGGAGAATAATCTTTTGCAACTTTTCCATCCAGGTCTCACTAAACTGGATTTTAATTTCACTTTACACTACTTCAATATCACAAAAGAAGAAATTCTTACGGCCATAAAAAGGAGGTCTATGTTCATACTGTCAGTGAAAACAGAAGCACAAGGAGGTAGTCTAGCCTTGCTCTCCTAAAAGGACGTGTAAGACAGTTTTCAGGGATGTTTGAAGGCTTTTGTATTTCCATTTTACATTCTTAAATAGACTTAACCTACTTAATACTTAACCTATTGCTAACTGTTATTAATAATTTGCATAATGAATGAGATTTTATATGTATATATGATTCACAGGGCTAGAAATTTCATTTGTTTCTGTTTTAGATGTGGTGTACATTTTATTAGAAAGAAAAAAACTAATTGGTAATATTATTAGCAATGAAATTGGCCAAGATTTTTAAGTTAGAAGATACTTTTAAAAGTTGTGTATTTGACTTTGTGCCCTGTATAGCATATAGTGGTGACAGCAAATGAACTGTGTTTAACAAACACAAAGACTATTCAGGGGTAGAAATTAACTTTCTGTCTCCAAGATTTAATATTACAAAGAATAATTTGGGTAGACGGTCATACTAGATTAAGAATTTAAATTGTCAACAGTGAAAAACCATTGTTGTAATTAAACACATATACTTTTAAAAATCAATTATCATTATGACTGGATACGTAGTCCCACATTCTCATGTGGCTCTGGATTCACGCTTTCTCTTTTTTTAAGTTCATAAATTCAAATAGCTAGCCATTTAATTTCAACCCCTGAGTGCAGGTAAAAGGAAAGAGGGCAGGAGCAGAAAAGAAAAAGAGTAAGTAGTATAGGAAAACATTGGAAAAAAAATTGGGGGACGTGAAAGAGGCAAGATTTATGATTTACAGATACAATGTTTTCCACTTACTCTTCACCCCCTTTTTCCCCTTTCTCTCCTTTTTGTATTGTTCCTTGAGTTTGGTAATTACTCCCTGGTCCACATTCCAGGCTTCAGGCATGAGACACTGGTCTTCCTTTTCTAAACAGAGTGAAACAAATGAAACAACCTTTTTCAATAAAATATTGAATACTCTAAGTCAATTCACTGTATATTAATTAATATATAACATAACAACCATTTTCTTCATATTATCTTTAAAATATACTGTTTATGCACTATAGATATGTTATGCAATATATAATAGCTAACAATGATCAACTAAAGTTAAATTTCTCTTTAAAAAAAAATATAAAAGCCTAGAAGATGTCAGTGACTTTGAGTGAACTAAGTCCCAAAACTGTGTAATCAAGAACCCCTCATTTTTATGCCATTTTCTGAATTCAATTCACTCACACACAAAAATGTATTAGTTTATGTGATGAAAGGAAATCACTATTAAGAGATTTAGTATAAAATAGTCTTTAATAATCTCTTCATTTCAAACACTTTATATTTGTGTTCTTCAAAATATGATCATTTTTTATTTCTATAGGCCTTGTAAATATCAGTTACAAATTTAGCCATCAATGCTTCATTCAAAATTAAAAGCAATTTACATGGTATTAGTTCACAAATTCTTAAATAAAAAAATTAGCTTCTAGTAAAAATGTCAATAACCAGTTTTGACTGATTCAAGAGAAGAAAATTTAAAGAGTAAATATTGTGTTGTATACTTACTATAAAATAGTGTATAACTATATAATGTTGTTAGCTCAGAACTCTCACTTGAACTCTCACATCCAACAGCTCACTCTATTTCCATGAGGAAATCTGAAGTCTTAAACTAAACACACAAAACCAATCTCTTCCATTCAATCTGTTTTATCTACAGGGTTCCCCATCTCATGATGGCAATTTCATCTTCCATTTGCTTAGATCAAAAACTCTCTTCTTTTACAACCCACATCAAATATTTTAGGAATATTATCTTCAAAACACATACAGAATCTGTACTTCTCAGCACATTCACTGCTTCTCTAACCACTCTCTCTTGCTAGAATTACTGCTAATATTTCCCTCTCCCCCAGAAGTCTATTATTAACACTGGTTGCTCTGGGTAATCTATTCTCAACATAACAGCCAGAGCAATGCTTTAAAATAAAAGTCAGATCATGTCACCTTTCTGTTCAAATCCCTTCTGTATCTACCCACCTCACCAGTGAGCTACGTGACCCTACATGACTTAGTCATTTATTTCTACATTTCCTTTAGAATTTTTCTGCTCCAGGCCCTTAGAATCACTCTGGCTTCTTCCTTGAGTCCTGAAACATACTTGTTGCTGATATTGTTAGAGCATTTGCTCTGGTTTTCTTCTTCCTCAACACTCCTTCCGAGACACTATATGGCTAAAAACCTCATCAACCTCAAGCCCTACGCTCCAGTATTACACTCTGAATGGGACTTATCATGGCCACCTTATTTTAAATTGTAACCTGTATCCTCCCCACTGACTCTAGGACTTTCTATCTCTCTTACTCTGTAATTCTTTTTCTATTTTTCATAACATTTGTCACTTTCTGACATACTATCTCCTTGACCATGTTTATTGCTTATTGCCTAAAGCCACTCAGTAGACTGTATGGTCCTTAGTGGAAGGGCTCTTCACATAGAAAACTTGGTATATAGAAGACACTTGATCAATCTTTTTAAAAATGTTTGTAATAGATGGAAATTAACCAGAATAAGCAGGAACCTGCCTGTTTTATAAGTTTCAATTCACAGTTAAAAAAAACTTGTTTATTTGGTCTTTGAATATACTAACACAATAAAAAATGTATAAACAACTATAATCCATCAACAGTAGAGATAGTGTATTTTGCAGAAAGATCTAATAATTAAAAATGCTGATTTTCATTAATCAGATCTCAATGAGAAATTAAACTGGGTGGCTTTTGGATCCCTCAATGTCTTCAGTTTTTTAAAGTAAAAATTTAGCCTTATCATAATCTTAACTATACTCATACAATAACAGTAATAAAAAATGTAAGTAAAATTTATTGACTTGCCAGAAACTAATGAGACTCTTAACCTAAGCATATTCATTCTTTTTATAAGGGGTGGGAGAGATATGAAGCATTTAAAATAATTTAAAAGTCTATTCCAATAAACAGAATTTGCAATCTTTTTTGTTGGTTAGAAGTGAAATACCTTGACTATGAATTAGAAAATCCTTAAAACACGTGAGGTCAAATCTTTAGTTAACTGAAAGATTCCATTCATTCAACTTATAAACAAAAGTTTCCAGGATATAACTAAGAGTGACACAGCTCAGATTTAGGAATAGGCACTGATGTGTTCACCAGTAATTTCACAGAAGGTTAGGTTAAAATGTACATACGTAACATATATTACTCTGGGCCATGACTCAAACATTGATACAAAGTTAAGCAAGGGACAATGCAGCTATTTTTGGAGGTAAATAAATCCTACTTATCCTTACAATAAAATTGTCAATGAAATGGCCTAACTACTGTATGTGCAGATGAGTGACTTCTCAGGAAAAAAACTTCAATGTGATACAGTAGATCTAGTTACATTGTGGAATTGCTGCCTAAAATACCTGTGTAACTTGACATATGCCCTCTTTAAGACAGTAAAATAGGAGAGATTTAACTTCCTCTTGGTTTCCGAATTTTGTACTGTTGGAAAAAATGTCACTAAATTAAGTATCCATTATATTCTTCAATGACTAAGTAATTATTTCAAATAATTCTTCAAATATTTGCCACAAAAAGGAAAAGCAATAGCATTAACTTTATCACAGAGTCCCTGAAAGTAAGATCGTAAGGGGTTAAATAATTACACAAATTCCAAATTTATGAGATTTAAGGAAAATGTGTAAAGGCAGATGAAAATTTATTGCATGCGATGGTTATAAATTACTACTGTCAGTGTTAACACTGCATAAGAAAATCACTTTTAATGATTCTGGGGCAAAGGAACCTACCAATACCAATCAGCCTAGATAGTATTTTCAAGTGAGAACAAGAGCTTTGAGAGATCAGTTGTGCTCTAAAATATAATCAGTTTTTCCCATACATGGGAAGGTTCCAAAAAGGCAATAAAAGCACAAATAATTACTTAACACCCTAGTAGAAAAAGTCATTAGAAAGTTTCAACAAATGCTCATTATAAATGGTTTCTATAAGTGAGGAAAATTTAACTCTACCTTGAATACAAAGAAGAAAAATCAGTAATAGAAACATAATATCTCTTCCAGAAATTGAGTAACTACGGTTGTTCACAATTTACAAAGATATTTCTGTCCATGAGCTGATCACAAAACATTTTCATCATGTTGTTTCCGATAATAATAAATAATAAATACTTCTACAAAACAATTTTATATCACATTTGCAGCTATTTTTTCTTCATGGACAAAATATTAACTTAAATGAACATGTATTTCAAATAAGAAACCATTGGTTCATCTTTTTTTTTTTTTAAAGATTTATTTATTTATTTACAGTCAGAAGACGGTGAGGTTTTATATGTGGGAGATAACCGGCTTGAAATTACATCCAGAAGATTAGCTTCCTTCAACCACACTTGCCCAAATCTTAGGCTATTAGGCCAATTAACCAAGATACAAAAATGTTTCTGAACTTCAATTGGTAAAAATTAACACAAACCCTAAGTCTTTTACTATATAAATTCATAAAAATTTAAATATAAACTTTGGAGTACTTATATAGCAGTTGTTCATGTAACAAAAACAGGTATGTATTTTAAGTAAGAGTTAAAAGAACCTAATTAAAATCTTTCATGTATATAACTAATTTTTAAAACTTATTTATACCCCTAAATTACAGAAGTTAAATTATTTATCATTCAGTAGCACCTGTAGTTCTTGAATCTTATTTACATGAGTCTTGAGTCTATATTTATAAATATGTATATATATGTACAAGTGCAATCTATATTTAAAGTAGTTACCTAAAGTAGATGAGAAAGTCATAATGAAAAAAAACCTTCAACATATATCATTATCTCTAAACCTCCAACAGAAACTTTAATACTTACACTTTACTATAGGCATGAAAACGAGAGCATTCTGGTCTTGCTTTTTACTTTTCTAGATATCCTGCTTTTAACAGCAACTTTTTTTATTTTTTGTCTTTTTTTTTTTTTAAAGATTTATTTATTTTTTATACAAGAGCCTGGGGTACAGGCCAGAGGCGCGGGAGGGTGAGAGGATTCAGCAGAGACAGAGCTGGGAAAAGGACAGGCAGAGTGACCGAAATACACTGCTGAGGGAAGCAGTGGGTGAGACAGGAGAGGTCTGCCATGCCATGTGGGATTCTCGCTGGCTGGCTGGGATCGAACCCGCACCGCAGAGGCTGCTGACAACTTCACAGCGCTGCGCTCAACCTGCTGTGCCACTGGGGAGGCCCAAACAGCAACTTTTAAAAAGAATATTCTTCCAAAGTATTGTTCAGTATAGTTTTTAGTTAAAGTCTCAAAAGTTGGCTAAAGGGATCAGTAATATTATTTAAGTAGCAATTAGATTACTTTAATGTCAATTTTTTTAGCTGTGTTTTCTTTAACTTAAGTATTTTTTAGCTAAGGTTTGTATACCATAACATGAATATATACTTTCTAATCTACTGATTAGCAATCATTATATTGTAAGATCTCACTGAAAGCTGTGACAAAATTACACACTATTTTTTTTTCAGGTTTGCATTATTCTTTTTTGATTTTAAAACATTTTATTTTATATAATTCTTACATCATTTTCCATCTTTGCACAATGTATGCATTTTCATTATGGTTATATTCCCCATACAATTGCACCCCCCCCCTTATTTTGACTCTAGTCCTTCCTTTCCCTGCCCCTCCCCCCCGTAGTGTGTCTCTGGTTTATAGCTGCATGTTGATTTTGATTTTTACTTGTATTGATTAGTCTTTTTCCTGGTCTCTTATTTAGGTTTTCTAAATTCTTGCTATGAGTGAGACCATCCGGTATTTTTCTTTTTCTTTCTGACTTATTTCACTGAGCATGATCCCTTCTAGCTCCATCCATGTTGCTGCAAACTGCATGTGTTTATCTTTTTTGAATGCTGAGTAATATTCCATGGTGTATATGTACCACATCTTCTTGATCCAGTCATCTATTTTTGGGCATTTGGGTTGTTTCCACAGTTTAGCTATTGTAAATAGTGCTGCAATAAACATAGGCGTGCAGGTGCCCTTTGGAATTACTGTTTCTGTGTCCTTTGGGTAAATACCTAGGAGTGGAATTGCTGGATCATATGGAAGCTCTATGTTCAGTAGGTCAAGAAATCTCCACACAACTCTCCATAGTGGTTGGACCAATTTGCACTCCCACCAGCAGTACAGGAGAGTTCCTTTTTCTGCACAACCTCGCCAACATTTGTTGTTGCTAGTTTTTTTAATATGTGCCATTCTCACTGGAAAATTACACACTATTTTAGATGCAAAACTAAAGACTGTAAAATATCGCAAAATAGAGTAATGTAAATTATCTAACTTTCTACATATATTTGTCTTTCACCTCACCCCTATACCAAGGTATAAGCTTTAGAAAGTATATCACATCACCAAATTTTATCTTCTAATCCAATTTCCTTTACCTATGTACTCTAACTTCTTGGTGGCAGAAAATGTAAGAAACATTTCTCAGCTAAAGCTAATTGGTAAATAATAATTCTTAAATATAAGAGAACTATTTTTCAAAAGGTGAATTAACTTATAATTCCTTCTCCCAAGAAACTATGTAATAAGTCTATGAAAGACTATTGTTCATATTCACCCCCATGTGTGGATATTTCAGAACTTATATGTCTAAAATGCAAAGTGCACACTGCACTTAATAAAAGTGAAAGCAGGGCCTCCCCGGTGGCACAGCAGTTGAGTGCTCGGCTGTGAAGCTGCCCACAGCCTCTGCAGCGCCGGTTCGATCCCCGGCCTCTAGCAAGGGTCCCACATGGTGCGCAGACCTCTCCTGCCACACCCGCTGCTCCCCTCAGCAGTGTATTTCATCAGTCTGCCTGTTCTGCTCCCCACTCTGGCTCTGGTGAATTCTCTCACCCTCCCGCATTTCTGACTGTACCCAGTGCTTGTATAAATAAATAAATAAATCTTTAAAAAAAAAAAAAGTGAAAGCAATGTTCATTCCTCTACCTCAAAAGCAAGAAACTCCTTACTCCTCTAAATATATCTGAATGAGATGTGATTTTGATCTTCTAAGTAAAGAGCATGAGACTAGCGGTTAATGTGTCAGAAGAAGTGAACAGAAGCAAAGATCTTTCACTTACTTTTCCTCCTAGTTACATGCAAAATTAGTTTCCTAAACTAATTGTACAGTCTTGTTTTACACATTAAAAGCAAAATTTCCAAACCAAAGATAAAATACCCTTAAAATTTTATTTTATGGTTGAATAAAACCTGCAAGTAGAAAATTGTGTTAGGTCATTGGCAGAACTGAACTATGTAGTAAGACAAAAATTATGACTGTGGAAAATAAAACATCCATTTTTCTAAAAGAATAAAACATTTAGAATTTAAAGGTCAACATGTATTAAATTGGCAACAAAGGAAAGCCCTAAGGAAAAATCAGTACCATTACTGGTTCTCTAGTCTTATCTGTCTTTAAAGTACACAACCTGTAAGCTAAGGGAGTCCTGGAATCCTTCATCCTCAAGCAAAAATTTTGTCACATTCTCAATATCCATCTGGGGTGTCTTTCTTTTGCCTCTCTCTCTGAAACACATATACTGAAAATTGATCAGCTGTTCAAAAACTGATCATTTTTAAGCATTTATTATAATCCCATCTCATTTACAGAGAGAATTCACTTAAAAATTCCTACGGTTACACTATGGAAGTTTTACAAAACACCTGTTTTGACTTCTGTCAGATGTTTAATACATTAAATACATGTAGAACAATTTATGCAAAAATTCTATGCATTGCATAAACCTGACCAGAATGAATGATCTAACTACAACTTTTCAACTTATACTTCTTTCCTCAAGATACCAGAAATTAAATCTCTATAATCCCTTGTTACATTCTCATACTAAACTGCACAAAATCTATATTTTTAAGTTCTGTCTAGGTAGAAAAAAACAACTGAAACTCAAGTTATTTTCACAGTGCATTGCTCATGTTAAAAAAAGATATAACTAGTTGTACGACCTTCTTTAAACACATGCACACATCATGAAGCTATTACTACTGTGGGAATTAATAAAAGAGTTCATTTAGACATAGATAGATATAAATAGATAAAATAACCACACTCACACACCCTAGATAAAAGTTAAATGCAGTAAAAAGTTCATAAGATGCACAACATTTAAACATTTTAAGATTCTAGTGTTTTTCAAGATGTTGCCCTTGTGGTAAAATATTCTTTTATTTATATAACCACCTCTGGCTGGATCTAATATGCTTCCTTACCCCAGTCTGTTCCATCGCCTGCACTTCTAGATTCACTGTCTCCCTCCTCCGGTGTAACCAAGAAGTCAAACTCTTTTAGAGCTTCTTTTGTATCTCGATCTTCACTGCTCTCAGGCAATGCTTTCTTCCTAACAATCTAATGAAAAAACATATTCAATTAAAAAACATCAGGATGCATTATGGAATTAACTTAAACAAAGGAAACAGCATCCCTTTACTGCTAAGAAAACCCCATTATAGTTTTCTTCAGAAAGTACGTCTCTACTGAGTTAAATGATATTAATACCTATCCAATTCAGTGAGAAATGCAAGTATGATACTAAAAAGACATGCAGTATATATTTTGAAGCAGTGATTTCAATTTTGTTTGATGATAACTCTTTTGTTATTTAAATAAATGAATGGAATCATATACTTGGAAAACATTTTGGAAAATAATGCATGTATTTAAATTACTGATAAATGAAAAATATCCCCAACAAAATATATTAAGTGAACCATACTCAGGCTTTACTTTCTTGGATGCAATCTGTGCAGTTTGCAGACATTCTAATTGAACCAAAAGAAGAAATCACTCCTGATAAATTTTCACTGTACATTATTTCCTTACAAAACTGAAAACCACAAAAGCACAAACTCAGAAATCCATGCCTCAAGGCTTCTAAGGTTTCAATCCTGACCTTGCATCAATTTCCTCCAATTACTTTTTAAATTAAAAATTTCCCCTAAAACATGATCTTTTAAAGTGAGATTTGACTTAGATTTGAATGGAATTTGATAAAGGCCATTATATCTCATTTTTATGTATTTAGGATTATCTCTGAAATCACAAACCCAGTTGAAGGATCGAACCTTAGGGTTTCATGTATATACAGATGATTTTTGATATCTATATGCCAATATTATTTATGAACTATCTTTTATTTTGGTCACCTCCTGTATAAGATTGTTACTACACTTATCTAATTATATGATGATGAGAAAGCAGATAAATATGACATTAGGAGAAAATAAGGTCAAGAGAATCATGAAGAAAAAGAAGACAGAGAGGAGTAAAATGATTCAGAATGTAACCCTATAAAAAATCAAACTTCAGTAGAGAGCAAACAGCAAAGGACATCATATATGGATATGAAAACATTACATTATATAATAGTCTAAACACAACAGTTCTTTGCTGTATATTCTTAATTGAATCTATCAAACAATTTTGACTTAAGAAATGTAATAGCATTAAAAAATCTGTTTTACACAATTTAATAGGATAATCTTCAGCCATTTACTAACTTTAGCATAAAATAAAACCTCTAAATCCTGCTTTTCTTTGCTACAAAAAGACAAATGTTTAGTTCTTTTGGCATGTAATTATTACATTGCATCTATGAAAATAAATGTGTTATATCATAAAAATTAGCAAAACTGTTAAAAAGAAACCAATTATTTGTTTAGAAATTTTTTTTTCCTTAAAAACAGAGTTTTTGAGTCTAGTGTTTAATGGGATAAAGTATTTATAATAACTGTCTTTCCACTGTTTGGTCACAAACTGCACTAAGTGGAAGAAAGGGTATTTATGAATTTGATTACTTTAAAAGAAACCAGTTTACGGGTAGGGATTTCTAGTAAGAACATAAGTAATAGCTGTAGATTTTATTAATATTTAATATTTAAAATGTAATGACTAAATTATATTTAAAAATGTAATGACTAACAAAGAAGTATGAAGCATCAAAATTAGTTATTATTTACCACTGAGGTATGATTATAGCATTTTCACGTGAATATAGTATCTCAATGCCATCACTACATAGAAATCACGAGGTAGTATAATCCAAATAATTAGAACAAAGATAATGTATCACACAAGTTTGAGCATTTTCTTTTATTACATTAAAATAAATGCTATTACTATATGGTTGGGTAAGAAAAACTAGGGATAACCACCCTAAATTAGAATAATATCCATAACAGAGATGTATTAGCCAAGCACAACTAAATATTGTCCATGGAAACAAGAGTCTGGAAGCATTAAAGCTTTGATGGAAGCAGAAGAAATACTAAGAACAGAGAAGTTACCCTTTTAGAAAGTAGTTCATAGCTACAATTATATGGAAACAAGTTCAACAATCTAGAGGAAATGGACAAATTCCTACAACTCTACAATCACCCAAAGCTAGATAAAGAAAAAACAGAACACCTAAACAGACCAATTACAAGCAGCAAAACTGAAATGGTTATCAAAAATCTTCCCAAAAATAAAAGCCCAGGACCTGATGGATTTACAAATGAATTCTACCAAACATTCAGAAATGAATTAGTGCCTATCCTTCACAAACTCTTTCAAAAAATTGAGAAGGAAGGGATAATACCAAACACGTTCTATGAATCCAATATTACACTAATACCAAAACCGAACAAGGACAACACACAAAAAGAAAACTACAGGCCAATCTCACTAATGAACACTGATGCAAAAATCCTCAATAAAATTTTAGCTATCAGAATCCAACAACGTATCCATAAGATAATTCACCACAACCAAGTAGGATTCATTCCAGGGACACAAGGATGGTTCAACATCTGAAAATCAATCAATGTTATCCAACACATCAACAAAAAGAAATATAAAAACCATATGATAATATCAATAGATGCCAAGAAAGCTTTTGACAAAGTGCAACACCCATTCATGATAAAAGCCCTTGAAATTCTTGGGATACAAGGAACATACCTCAACCTCATAAAGGCCATCTATGACAAGCCAACAGCCAGTATCATTCTCAATGGTGAAAAGCTGAAAGCATTTCCATTAAGATCTGGAACAGGACAAGGATGTCTACTCTCACCACTGCTTTTCAATATAATACTGGAAGTCCTAGCCAGAGCAATAAGACAAGAGAAAGACATACAAGGAATCCAAATAGGAAAAGAAGAAGTCAAACTATCACTATTTGCAGATGATATGATAATATACATAGAGAACCCCAAAAACTCCACAGAAAAACTAATTCAACTCATCAATCAGTTCAGTAAAGTGGCAGGATACAAAATCACACAAAAGTCAGTAGCCTTCCTATACACAAACAATAAATCTGAAGAAGAAGAAATCAAAAAAACCATCCCTTTTATTATTGAAACAAAAAAAATCAAATACTTGGGAATAAATCTAACAAAAGAGGTAAAGGACCTATACAAAAAAAACTATAAAACACTGTTAAAAGAAACAGAAGAAGACACAAAGAAATGGAAAGACATCCCCTGCTCATGGATTGGAAGAATAAACATTATTAAAATGGCCATCCTACCAAAAGCAATATACAGATTCAATGCTATTCCAATAAAAATTTCAATGTCAAGGGGGCGGAACAACATGGCGGCGAGGAGACGCTGCGAGTAAGATCTCCCATTAAAAAAAGTGAATAGGGAGGAAAAGCGGCAGGTCCCAGTGAGAACCGGGACATGGAAGATAAACGGGTGACGCCAGCAAACTGCCCGAAGAAGAAAGTGGCCATAAAAGAGGACCAGAAGGGAGGGAAGCGCAGAACCCTGCTCCCCTCCCCCGCCCACAGAGGCGGCACTCTCCGACCCGCAGAGAGGAGGAAAACAACAAACCAAAACGACCCACAAGAACAAACGACGCAGCAAGTGGGACTGGGAGTGGAAAGGAACTATCTCAGCCACCACACCCCGTGAACCGGAGCTGTGGAGAATCCTGCAGGATCCGCCGTTGCGGAGGTGAGCTCTGGGCGTCATTAAAGAGAGACCCCGCCCCCGGGGAGGAGACCAGCCCCAGCACACAGCCCCAGGCCGCCCAGTAAGCCTGCACCGAAAAGCGGCGCGCTGGAAAAACAGGCGCGGATCGCGGTCAGGATTGCGCGGAAAAGCGGCGCGCTGGAAAACCAAGTGCGGATGGGAATCGGGATCGCGCGCGGAAAAGCAGTGCAGTTGAAAAGCAAACGCAGATCCAGATCCCAGCTGCCCAGGTCCCTGCGCCTGTGACCTAGGCTTGCGGGGAGACGCGCAGAGGCCCTCACTGTGTGAGCAGGAACCAGGCGCCCAGGCACGGGAGCAGGATTCAAAAGGCACCATTCCCGAGCCACTGAACTGGGCTACAGCCTGAGTCCTGGAACTGAGGGCTTTGGAACTGAGACACGGGGCACGAAATTAGGGGCGTGGGTTCCCCACGACGGTGGGGCACAAGGCAGACACAGCACCCCAAAGCCGTTGAGGTTTCCCTACCATTCCCGCTCTATTCCCTGTCCCACGGGGTGGAAAATCAGCTCCCCAAGGGCTCCAGGAGAGATCTCTGGCGCCACCTAGCGACTTGAAGCCAGCAGAGGCGCCTAGAGGAGCCAATGGCCAGCTGGGGAGTTAGCCCACGCCGGGCCCCTTCCGACCAGTAGTCTGAGCCCACAGGGGGAGCGAGCACCCATAGCCGGGGCAGACCAGGCGCGCAGAAGAGTGTGCCTGAGACCGGACGCGCAGGGAGTGTGTCCCACATCACCATTTTAGAACAGGGACATTTCTTCAGTAAAGACTACTTGCAGAAGGCGTCCTCAGGAGCCAGAGGTGAGCGGGGGAAGTTCGCCCACGCCAGACCCCCTCTGGCCTGCAGTCCAAGCCCAGAGGGGGAGCAGGAACCCACCGCCGGGGCAGACCAGGCGCACAGGGGAGTGTGTCCCCACATCGGCATTTTAGAACAGGGACATTTCTCCAGTAAAGACTGCTTGAAACTGACAGATGACTCCTGGAGGAACCAGAGGAGAGCAGAGAAGCTCACCCAAGATGCCGGCCAGTCCCAACTACACAGTGTCCCAACGCATACGGCAAATTAGAAAACAGACAGTAGGGAGGAGGAGAACCACACGCAACCTAGCAACTCCCCAGGTAAAAAGCACACCACAAAAAGAAAACCAGCACCCAGATTGCAACGACAGTAACTTGGAAGAACTTCTGAGCCTTCCAGAAAGAGAATTTAAAATTGCCGTGATTAAAAAACTAACAGAAGTCATAAAGGAAAACAATGATAAGGGAAAAATAATCAACGATCAGAAGAATGCAATTGAGTCCCTAGAGAGGGAAAACAATGGTCAGAAGAATGAAATTGAGTCCCTAAAGAGGGAAGTAAAAGAAATGCAG